ACGACTTTCGCCAGACTCTTTGTACCCCCAGGGCACCTCACCCCTCACCTCGTTGATGTCCTCGCAGTGGGTGCCGTTGCCCTGCAGGCCAGGCGGGCAGGGCCCGCAGCGGTAGCCTGGGTACTCGTACACCTCCATGCAATCCACACCTCTGAAGCAGGGGTTGGGGCTGCAGTGGGAACGCTGCTCATGGAAACCTGGGAGGTGGACACAGTCAGAGCCACCCTCTAGGGTCCCTGCTCAGCTCGCCAGGAAGGAGGAGAAGCCGAAGCCGCGGACCGGGGAGCACAGCAGGGCCGTCTGGGAGCCCCCTCCGCTCTCCCACTCACCGCACACCTGACACTCCATGATGGTGTTCCGGATGAGGGACATTTCCTTCACCTGATGGATGAGTAGCAGTCAGCTCTCCGCACCTGCCACCCCACCCCAGGGTCAGGAGCTTCCTGGGCTGGCCCCACCCAAACCTGGTCTCGGATGTCATCCCGGAGCTCCACTAGGATCTGGTTGAAGAGGGTGAACTGGGTGACCAGTGCCTTGGTCTGCTCCCCTGTCAAGGTCCAGGGTGTATGGAGAGACTCAGAACGGGGGAGCCACTCTGGGCCCTCTTTGGACTGTAAGCCAGCTCTTGCCCCCAAAGTCCACACCACACCTTTAAACCCCACCCAGGACAGAGGACCACCCGCGCCTCAACCACCTGTCCCGTGGCTTACTCACCTAAAATGGATTGCAGTGCACTCGTCACTAGAGGAGAGGAGAAGGGACAGCAGTCAGGGGTGGGCTGCTGAGGCGGAGCGGCCGGGGTGGGGGGATGGGTGGGGTGCGGGGGGGGGCACTCTTCCCACGGCCCTATCCTCAGCGAGCACAGCCCTTTCCGCTGGGCTAAAGGCCATCTAGGCATTGCCTCAAAGGGGGTCGAAAACCCCAATCCTGGATCCCAGGCATGGTCGTAGCAGGAAGACTCCAAGTGAGAAGCCATCCGAGGCAGGGCCAGGGCCCTAGTACATTCCATTTCCAACCCCTTTCCCAAGCTCCCACTTGAAGAACCCTTGGAAGCCTCTGGGAGAAGTGGGTGTTTGCTTAGGTAAGAGCCTCTGAGCATCCTTGTCAGGGAAGAGGGTGAGAGGCCTTGCTTGGCTGGAGGTGGTGCCCACGGGTAGGCGACGGGCCAAGAGGGACTACAAACACCTTGAGACGTTACTCCCTCACCCCAGAGTTCCTCAGAGTCACGGGCCTGCTAGACGGTTTTATTTTTCTGACCCACACCTCCTCCACATGACGGCATGAAGTCAGGGGTGAAAGATTTGGAGTTACAGGGTCAAAAGCCTCAGGAACAGGCAAGATACAGGAATGGGATTGCATGGGCAGAGGGAGAACAGGTAGGGGTCCGTTACCTGCACTGTGAATGGACTCATCTCCTTGGAATGGGCACTCACTCAGGGCTCCTACCCGAGCCATGGATCCACCTACAATAATTTTCATCGACTCCACAAAGCCCTAAGGGTCAGCAAGTAGCGAGGGGGTGTCTAGCAGCTCCCGGTTACAGACCATCTTCCCCAGACCAGAGGCTCCGCCCCTCACCTGCAGCCGCAGATAAGCCTTCTGTCCAGTTCTAATCTCCAGGCCGCTGACCTCCGCTGGAGGGATTGGGGCCAGTGCGGGGAGGCCAGCGTGTTGGTCGCCCAGTTTACAGTCCACGTACAGCTGCAGGCCAGGGCTGGGCCGGGACGGTCCTCGGAGCCGCAGGAGAGCCGTGTGTGTGCGCCCATCAGCCAGGCCTGCTTGCTGTAGGTTCACTGCGTGGACTTTGCCATCTTCCCGCTGGTACCGCACCAGTACTGCCCAGGAGTGGAGGTCAGTGTGGGCGCCAGCCCCCCGTCCCACGTCCCAGTTGACTTGGAACGTTTCTAGATACCACCTCCCCCACCCGCTGTCTGTCTGTCTCCGCTCTGTTGTTTGTTTGTTTGTTTTTGGAGACAGGGTTTCTTTGTGTAGCCCTGGAACTCACTCTTTACCCCAGGCTGGCCTTGCACTCAGAGATCCACCTGCCTCTGCCTCCTGAGTGCTGGAACTAAAGGCGTGTGCCACCACCACTCAGCAAAATACCATCTCTCTCTCTCTCCCTTTTTCCTTCTTGAGGCAGGGTTTCTCTGTATAGCTCTGGCTGTTCTGGAACTTGCTCTGTAGATCAGGCTGGCCTTGAACTCACAGAGATCCACCTCCCTCTGCCTCCTGAGTGCTGGAATTAAAGGCATGCGCCACCACCGCCTGGCTGATACCACATCTCTTAAGGCTAACCCCAAAGTTGTATATGTATTTCTCAACACCCTGTATGTAACAGGTGCACAATAAATGCTTTCAAATTGGCCTTAGATGAGGACCTTATTCTCAATGCCTCAGGTAACTATTCTCTCCCAAGGTGACAGCTAGATCTGTACCCACTGAACGCTAACAAAAATCTGAGTGGCTCTAGTTCTGTTGGGATGCAGAGATGGCTCACTCTCCCTGTGAGCGTACCAACATACAACCTGCCATCCGTCCCTACAAACACCAGGCCTTACCCAACTGTGTGGGTACCTCCGTCCCAGGTGTCCCTAGTAGAAGTCAAGAACAGAGGGGCACCTGGGAGTGGGGCTGGGGGGGGGGGCTGCTCAGGGGCCACTGACTCGGGAGAGGAGGTGCCCACCAGTCACCTTTGTTACTCTTGCCCACAACCGAGGCCTCCAGCCAGCGTGTGTTGTCCTGCCGAGAGTAGACACCAAAGAGGACGCCGCCTTGCTTTGGGGGGAGGCGGAATGTGGACAAGAGGTAGATGTCCCCAGCAGTGAGTAAAGCTGTCCGGATCTTCTCTGCCACGGCTATCATCTGCCGGGACTCGCCCATGGTCAGCAGGTCAATTACTAGCCAGGTAGGGATTATCAAAATCAAAGAAGGGAGTTAGTGTGAAGGCCTGCCCTCCTTCTTGAGCCCTCGGGGGTGAGGCATCTATCCCAGTTTATCCACCTGCCCTGGGACAGCCTAAATCGCCTCCTCAAAACTCACTAGGGATGGTGGTACGTGCCTGTAATCTGAGAGGCTGAGAGGACTGCCTCAAGCTGGCAGCCAGGGAGCAGGCTACAAGACCCCATCCATAAAAACAAAAACCTCAACAGAGGCAATTCCCCCCTCCCAGCACTTTCCGCTGCTTTCCAAGACTTGGGACCTATAGGCTTAGAGCCCACTGAGAAATGCCAAAGCTACCCCACAAACTTCGGATGTCCCACCAGGTGGCGCAAGGGAGACATTGCTGAGCGGAGACTGGAGTGGCACCTGGTGCCCACAGCTCAGAAACCAGAGGTGGCTGGTCTCCACGGCTGGGTTTAGCTCACTTCCACCCGTGGTGCCCATCCTCCCCTCCCAGGAGCTCATCACATGTGTCAAGATAAGAACAGCTGTCCGCAAAGGGCCCTGACCCTCCCACCCCTGTTTAGCCACACCCCCCAAACACCTCTCCTGGGAATGTAGGACCCAGAGCCTCTGCCTCTGCCTCTGCCTCCTGTGTCCTGGCCAATCTGTGGTTTCCCCTCCAGCCAGTAAAGAATCTTTGTGTCATCTCCTCCAGCTACCTCTGCTCCACCACCCAGGGGCCCATCCCACCACCAGACCTCCGGGAGAGCTCAAGCTGCTCAATCCCCACCCCCACCCTATCTTTTAGTAGCCAAGCGCCGGGATAAAGGGGAGAGCAAGCCCAGGGTCCCACATAGTGCAACCACCGTCCATCAGGCTGCGTCCCCACACTGTCCTGCTGATGCACTGACACTTCGTCATGCAGTCCTGGCATCCAGATCCTGAGTCCACCCTGGTCTCAACGCCTGACACGGCGTCAGTCTGCACGCACCGACCACTCCGGTGCCCACCCCTCCCACATTATCACCAACTCTTGACTCCTCCGAGTGAAACTTTTCTCTCCAACTCAATTTCAGGACTCCTCCCTCTCCTCAAACCCACATGTGGTCTGTCTGCTATTTTGGCTGGGGGGCAAAAGAAAGGAGACAAAGAGGATGGATGCAGGCTTACCCTGAAGGTCCTGACTGGCACATGCGTAAGAGCAGAGGAGAAGAGCCAGGGCCCCCCAAAGTTCCGGCTTCCCCATGCCGCTTAGCCGGTTCACTACCCCTGGCAGCCAGGCGACTGGGAGGGAAAAAGTCTAGGCGGAGAGCAGGAGCGGGAGGGGGGCGGAGGGACTGAGGAGCGAGCTGGGGGGGGGGCAGCAGGCGGGTAAGGGGGGGCTGAAACAAAGAGCTGCCAATCACTTCTGAGGCATCACCAGCTCCAGGAACCAGGGTCAACTGGGAGTCCTGGAGCCTTCCTTGCCTCCTGCTCCCTCCATAATTGTCCTCTCTCCCAGATGCCTCCCTTGGCTCTGACATCTGGTTCTTGCGGGCTTTCAACCTAAAGCGCTACCAAATGCTACTGTTCTCTGGAAGCCGCGCTCGGAGAAGGCAGAAACCCCTGCCCTGGCCTTTCTAGGCAGTTGACGGGAAAAGGAGAGAGAGCAAGGGACTTGGCCGACCCTGGCTTGCTGCAGCACCCAAGAGGATGCCCATGGCATGAGGCTTATCGCTGTGGCACAGCAAATACTTTTTATTACGGTGTGCTGGGTCCCTGACATGTGCCCATTCCTCCATTGTCTCTAATTCTTGGGAGCAATGGGGGCGTCCGTCGGGAACTGGTCAGTGAGGTCGAAATGAAGGAATCAGGAAAAAGGGAAAACCGCACCGGGGGCTGGGGCCGAAAACGGGAGGGCAGGGGCGAGGATGGGAGTCTGTGAGCCCCGGGTACCGCGGGAAAAGGCCTCGCCCGGGGTGACCCGGCGGGGAGCTTCGGGACGAAGCCGGACTTCTCGCCCCGCAGGCCACAGCCCGCGAGCCGCACCTCCCCTGCCCCCACTCGGGCCCCAGCCGGGCCTCCGCTCCGGCGCCGCCACCGCCCCTGTTTTGTTTCCATGGCGACAGGCGGCGCGAGGTCCGCTCCAAACATAACGCGCAGTGGAAAACATGCGGCTTGGGGGACCCCCCCGCAACCTCCGCTCGGGGCAGAGACCCGAGGGGGCCCGGGGCTGCCGGGGCCACGTGAAGTTTGACAAGGGCCCCCTGGGCCAGACGAGCCGCACCCGATGCCCCTCGCCCAAGCCCTCCGCGTCCACGGCGGTTCGCGGCTGCGCCCGGCACTGGCGCCGCGACGCTCCCAGGCGCGCCTGGATGGCAGCCCTGTG